TATACTATATGTGGATGGTGAGGAATAGGTGGGTTTTTGGGGATCATAGGCCACATGTGGATTGTATTGTAAGACATATTGAAATACACTTAAACAAAACTATTTTTACTTTGTATCCGCATGCTTTAATTCATTTTGAATCCTTAGCTAAGTGTCCTTAACTATTATCGTTTGTACATCTTTTCATTGTGTTTGCCCGTGTATGCCGATAATACTTGTAATCGTCACTTGATCTATGTTTGTTCGGGTATGTTCGGTGGACTTGTATATGAGCTTTGATCAATAAAATTTATATGTACCGATCAAAATAAAAAATAAGAAAAGCCGAGGCAACATCTATGACGGCAGCCATAGATGCAATAATAGCATCAGAGGCAACTGATTTTCTCTTCCCTTGAGATGCAGGTGGCAGATTTTGTGTAGAATATATCAGATCCTTATTTCCTTTTGTTTCGACATCAACAGAATTTTCGAACTGTGGAACCACTCCGGACAATTGATTATTTGTTAGAACCAGTCGAGTTAACGTTTGCATTTGCGTTAGGAACTTCGGAATCTCACCTGAAAATGTATTATTCGAGAGGTCTAAAACCTCCAATGAAGTCAACCTTGATAGACTAATTGGAATATCCCCTTCAAAGAGATTGTAGCTGAGATTCAAAGCGATTTGCAGACTCTGTGGCATTGCTGGAATGTGCCCACTAAGTTGGTTTTTTCCAAGCTGAAGTTCTAATAGAATATCCAAGTTTCCAATGGAATCAGGTATAGAACCTCTAAGATGATTTCCTTGCAAATCCAAGTTGGTGAGATTCCGTAAGTTGGAAAATGAATCCGGTATAGAACCACTCAATGAATTCCAGCTTAATTTAAGCCTCTGCAATCTGCGCAACATTGTAATTTGAGTAGGTATTTCTCCAACAAAACGGTTCAATTGAAGATTCAAAACTTGAAGGTTGGCCAGATTACCCAACGATGTAGGCAAAGGACCTGTCAATCCATTTCTGGCTAAATTCAACAGTGCCAAATTCGTGCACTTGCTGATTTCAGGAGGGATTGATCCAGTCAAGTTGTTGTTATCAAGCTCCAAATATGTCAACTCCCCAAGGCTTCCCAGTGATTCACCTGGGAGTGTTCCATTGAGAGAATTCCCTCCGAGCCTCAACCTAAACAGTCTTGTATGAATATTTTCAGGAATCGAACCCTCCAGTTTATTGTAAGACAAATCAATAGACTGCAAATTTGTTCTGGCCAGGAGATCAGATGGGATTGTACCTGTCAAGCTGTTATAACTAAGGTCTAAATTTCTGAGGTGAGAGGTCATCCCAGGCGGGATAGTCCCATTAAACTTGTTCTGATTTGCAGCAAATCGGAGCAGTGTAGAAATATTCGAAAGTGAATTGGGAATCCCACCACTCAGATCGTTAATAGACAGTATCAAGATTTTCAACTTTGATAGCCCTCCAAATTCATCAGGAATTAATCCTGACAATTTATTAAGACTAAGATCGATCAAATTCAAATTTCCATATTTTAAGATTTGTGAAGGGATACCACCAGTGAATTGGTTGAAGGAAAGCTGTAGTTCCTCTAAAAGATACAATTTTCCTAGGTTTATAGGAATAGCCCCTGTGAAATTGTTTTGGCTAAGGTTCAGACTCTTGAGGGAATCCAATTCAAGAAATTGTGAATCAATTTCCCCAGTTAGTGAATTTTGTGAAAAATCCAAGTGATCTAACATCCTAAAACGATTGAAATTAGGCAAAGAACCAACCAATCTATTCACACTAAAATTCAACAATTTCAATCCACTAATCTCTCCACAATCAGTGATGAACCCACCTGGGATTGAGCTCAAATAATTATAAGAGAGATCAATAAACTCCAAAGTATCAATCTGGCAAATAAATGGGAGAAACTCAGAACCAGAAATTGAAAACAAAGAGAAAGATAGTTTGATTATTGAAGAATTATCAGGAGTACAACTTACTCCCTTCCATGAGCATGGGCTTGAGTCCTTTGAGACATTATTCCAAATAAATTGTGTGCCAGTTTCATTCTTAATAATTTCATAAACCCTACTCATAGTACTAATCTGTTCTGAAGGCAACTGAGAGAACCCCAACTGAATATAAATCAAGAAAATCAACAGTGTGAAAGCAATTTTTGCATACCTGTTCATTTTGGCTCTCAATAAACTTTCTTGTGTGTGGGTGAAAGAAGTGCATAAACACATGTAAAGACGAGTATACAAGTGCAAGAATTTGAAAGGGCAGGCCAAGAATCATATGCATATTGGAAATTGAAAGGTTAGAGTGGAGTTGACTAGACTTTACTGTTTGAGAAAGACCAATATTGGCGTGGAATTTGGGGTGTTTTGTTCTTTGTTGACTGGAAAATGCATACTTGGTTTTCCAACTCCATGGTCTTTGGCGGGTTCCACTGCGAGAAATCAGTTCCTTGGAAAACGCGTGGTCTTGCACTTCTCGTCAAAGTGAATTTCATTTTTATATTTATTTATTGGTTGGAACTTTGAATTTTAAAATTTAACAATAAATCGAATTTATGAGCAATTAGCAATTAGACTTGTCCGGCCGAACAAAGTATAATATAACGGTGGATCATTAGTTGAACGGATTTAAAGCTAGATCGAATGATTTGGTTCAATTATAATAATTATGGCTAATATAGATTCAATAACAAGATAGTCTCTATGCACAAGTGCAAGTCTGTTCATATACACCAAGATGGAATTTCTCCTATCTCCCAGAAAAGAACATAATTGGAAAAAAAAATACAAAAATTCAATCTAATTCTTCCGAAATCTTGTATTTTAATTAATGGGATGTTACTATCGTTATAGATTAGATGTATATTTAAGAAGACTCCATTAAAAATAAAAAATAAAAAATAAGATTTTGCTTTTGTTTATTTATATTTCATTGTGCAATCCAGTTTCTTCTGAATTTGGCATCTTCATAGTGAAAGACTACAAATTTTTCCACGATCGCGTCAAGTGTCCAATGATAGGAATTCACCACGTATCTTTGTTATTTTGTTATAATACGCAATAAAAAGAAGAGGTAATTTCTTATCAATGACAATTGACAAGTAAATATAAATAATTATTGTTTGAAAAAAAAAAAAAAAAAGGGAAGAAGTGACATTGTATTTTATAAAAAGATTTATAAATTTATTGAAAGTCAAGTGATATAGGTTGGTAGAAGGAGCCACCTCAACGACAAGCAAGATAGATCACTGCATTTCGATGTAAGGCCATTGACCCTTAAGGGGTGCTCTGCCACTATTCCCAAGTGGTGCTCGACCACCATGCACGGCCATCGACCCCTCAGAGGCGCTCTACCACTACTCTCAAGGGGCACTCTACCACTACGCGAGGCCGTCGACCTCTCCAAGGGCGCTCTACCACTACCCCTAGGGGGCGCTCTACCACTACCCCTAGAGGTCGTTCTACATCTACTCGAAGTCTTCAACTAGAATGGAATTGCCTACCCAAACACTTAGCCATAAAACCTCTAGTGAATTGACTAGGTTCCATGACGGTTAATACGGGTTCAACTTCCAGGTGGGAAGTTAAAGACCCCCCACTCAGAATGTGGGGGTAGTGGGAATGCCAACGTGGGACACGTGACACCACAATCACCCAGCGGTTATTCAGCTCCGAATATCTATAAATACCCTCGGATGTGACAAAAGTAAGGGGGATCTCTCTCTCTTTTTAGTCATCTAAATTCCAATTGGATTTTTTCTAAGTCTATAAACTAATTCTCACTCCGGAGGTAAAACGGGGGAGGAAGCCCCGCCTTCGTTTTCCAGGTCGCACACACTTGACGGAGTAGTCAGAACGCCGAACGCCACCAAGCAGATAGAAGGGTATTGTTCCACAACCATTTCATTGGCGCCGTCTGTGGGAAATTCTTCCACTGAACACAAAGGTCATGTCGAGAAGACGAACAAGAAGTGACACACGCCTAAGAGCAGCAACGACGGAGGCAGAATGAATTCCAATTGGATTTTTTCTAAGTCTATAAACTAATTCTCACGCCGGAGGTAAAACAGGGGAGGAAGCCCCGCCTTCGTTTTCCAGGTCGCACACACTTGACGGAGTAGTCAGAACGCCGAACGCCACCAAGCAGATAGAAGGGTATTGTTCCACAACCATTTCATTGGCGCCGTCTGTGGGAAACTCTTCCACTGAACACAAAGGTCATGTCGAGAAGACGAACAAGAAGTGACACACGCCTAAGAGCAGCAACGACGGAGGCAGAATTAGAATCAGTCGCCAGAGGCCTCGATCCGCCACCGCCGTCGCAGTATGTGACGCAAAGCCAGTTTAGCGCCCTAGAGACCCAGTTAGCGGCCATGATGACCCTCTTGCAGAATCAAACGCAGAGAGCCACCCTCCCACCGCATTCGGCAGAGGCCCCGCCTCCACCCCAGGAGGCGCACATAGAAACACCGCCTGCCATCCAATCGGTGACTATAGGCTCGGGGGCTCCAGGGATGACTGTCTTGCAGTCCGTCCCACCCCTGAGTGGAGAAAGGAAGAGATCACGACGAAGAAAATTGTTGACGCGATTTCTAAAAGAAAAGACAAGCGCAGGCAGATGGTCCTAGAAGAGGACCCGTTCGCGCCTGAGATCATGGCGGTCCCTTTACCTAAAGGCTTTAAGTAGCCTATGATAAAGGCTTACGACAGGGTCATAGATCCGCTTGACCATCTGCAAATCTTCGTTGATCTGATGAGACTCTATGCAGCACCCGATGTGGTAATGTGCCGATCTTTTTCCCCGACTCTCAGGAGGGAAGCCAGAGACTGGGTGGCAACACTTGCCCCCCGGTCTATCCGAACATTTGATAAACTTTCCAGGAGCTTTGTAGCCTACTTCTTGAGTAGCAAGAGAAAGAGGAGGACAGCCATTGGACTGATGCAGGTGGTCCAGGAGAAAAATGAGTCTCTGTAGGAATATCTGGCCAGATTTAGCCGTGCGACCCTTGGAATAGAGGACCTTCAGATGCCGACGGTGGTGACTACGTTGACGAATGGAACTCGAAACTGGGCTTTTAAGATGTCACTTTCTAAGAACCCCCCAGAATCAATGCACGACCTATTGAAAAAGGAAGACAAGTATGTTGATGCTGAGGAGGCGGAGAAGGTCACAAAGAACCTCGGAGAGGGATGGGAAGTAGAAAGTCACAAGCGCAAGGCGGGGGACGAGCTAAGACCTACCAACAAAAATAGGCCAAGGAGTGAACAGATGGTGAAAGACACCGCCCAAGACCAGCCAGCCAGACACAAACGAGAGGAGTCCAGGGCGTTTACCCCTTTGAACACCCCCCTTGCCAAACTATTGATGAAAATACGAGACATAAAAGAGCTAGAATGGCCAAGACCCATGGTAACGCCAGCGGGCAAAAGAAACCAGGACAGATTTTGTCATTTTCACAAGGATCATGGGCATGATACTAAAGAGTGCCTGCAACTAAAGGAGGAGATCGAGCGCCTCCTAAGGCGGGGTCTCCTGGTTAAGTATGTGAAGGACAACCGGGGGAAGCAAAAGATGGAGGATCGTCCTTTACCTAGGGCTGGAGTGATAAACATGATTACAGAAGGGTTAGCAGGAGGGAGAGATTCAAACTCGACAAGGAAAAGCTACGCCCGCTCTCTCGGGATCTACTCCATCCAAAAGAATGCAAGGTTCAGCTAAAGCATCACTTTTGGCGAGGAAGACTTGGTAGGCGTGGCATACCCCCCATGATAATGCCCTAGTAATAGTAGGCGACATAGCTGATTTTGACGTCAAAAAAGTATTGGTTGACGGGGGAAGTGCCGCAAATGTACTCACCTGGGACGCTTTTTTAGGCCTGAAGATCTCACCTGACAAGTTAAAAATCGTGAACACCCCCTTGCAAGGCTTTGGAGGAGCCATGGTGATTCCAAAAGGTATTATGGAGCTCCCGGTCACGCTAAGCACATATCCGACCACTGTGGTAATTGTGGCGAGTTTTTTGGTCGTTAAGACCCCCATGGCCTATAGTGCAATCTACGGTCGGCTATTACTCAACGCAGCTGGGGCCATCCCCTCGACCTATCACCAGGTCCTGAAATTCCTGACCAGCAGGGGAGTCGAGTGTGTGCGGGAGATCAGCAAGCATCCAAGAAATGTTATGTCGACAGTATATCAATCAGAAGACCCCCATTAGTCATGATGTTAGAAGTTGAACCTCCGAGAGGGCGAATTGAGCCACTTAACATGATCGAAAAGATTTCCATAATGGAGGGCTAGGAGGTCAGCATCGGGGCTGAGTTGGACTCTGACGAAAAAGGGAAGCTGGTGAGGTACCTGATAGACAACCTAGATGTCTTTGCATGGAGCCCAACTGATATCACCGGGGTCAGCCCAGCACTCGCTCAGCATCGTATCGGAGTCCTACCCGAAGCCAAACCAGTAAAACAGAAGAAGAAAAGGAACCTCGTCCCCAAAAGGCAAGAAATAGCAAGGGCGGAAGTGGAAAAGCTACTGCAAGCAGGTTTCATCCGAGAGGTACGGTACCCCGAATGGTTAGCCAAGATTGTGCTAGTAAAAAAGTTAAATGGGAAGTGGCGCTGTGGGTTGATTATACCGGATTGAATAAGGCATGCCCAAAGGACTCATACCCGCTCCCACGGATAGACCACCTCATCGATGCCACATCGGGTCATGAGAGGCTCAACTTCCTAGACGCTGTCTCGAGGTATCATCAAATCTCTATGGCTGAGTGCGACCAGGAGAAGACGTCGTTCATCACAGATTTTAAAACCTACTGTTACACTACCATGTCTTTCGGCCTGAAGAATGCAAGGGCAACTTATCAGAGGATGGTGAATAGGGTCTTCCAGGAGTTGATTGGAAATGTCATAGAAGCCTATGTCGACGATATGGTGGTAAAAAGTATTAAGGCCGTTGGCCACGTAGCCTGTCTGTAGAGAGTGTTTGACATAGCCCAACAGAATAATCTGAAATTTAACCCCGAGAAATGTGTTTTTGGTACAGTCGGTGGAAAGTTCTTGGATTTTATGATCACCCAGCGAAGTATTGAGGTGAATCCCGACAAGATACAGGCAATACTTGAATTGAGAAGCCCCACTAGCAAGAATGAGGTCCAGCGGCTAACGGGGCGTGTGGCAGCCCTTAACCTTTTTATGAGCCGGGTAGCGGATAAGTGCTACCATTTCTTTAAAGCCACTGGGGACTCTAGAAATTTTGAGTGGACTCAAGAGTGTGAGGAGTCGCTGGAATCCTTGAAGAGGTTACTACAACAGCCTCCCATATTGACCAGCCCATGCCCTGGGGACGTACTATGTCTCTACCTCGCAGTGTCGCCACGGGCAATCAGTGCAGTTCTCGTAAAAGAATTCCCAAAGGCACAGAAACCAATCTACTATGTCAGTCAGGTCCTCAAAGGCGCTGAGACAAGGTA